TGCCTTCCTTCAGACAGCAGGGAACTTTTTCAGCAAGCAATAGGCTTATTCCCATAAAAAGTGGACATAGTTTAATATAATAAATTTAGTGTAAATTAACCTGACTTTTAGTGCATACCCTTTCAAGTTCAAGAAGTTCTGCAAAATGGCAAACTTGAAAAGAGCTTATGCAATATTTGTTGCCCCTCTCAGATTTTAAAAAAATAAATAATGTCTCTCTGGTAAAAGAAGAGGATCGAGCCAATTAATTGAGGAGCTGAACAAAGGAACAAAGTTAAACTTAAAGCATGAGGTTATTCCTCCTGAACTTTTCAAATTTTATGTAAGGTAATATTTCAGTTTCATAGGACAAGTACAAGTATCGTGCCAATCTTCCTTAACAAAGGAGGAATGAGGATCAAGTTATTTGCTTACGTAATCTAGGAGAAGATGACATTACTAATATCTTGCACCAGAAGTCTTGAAGAAGTAACCCTCTCTAGGGGTCCCTTCTTTAGTAAATTAAGTTCCTTTTTACAGGGGATTGGCTTTCCACCTCTGTAGCAAATGCACATTAATGTGCATATTCAATACAGAATAAACTGTGTGTAACCCTCTCTAGGGGTCCCTTCTTTAGTAAATTAAGTTCCTTTTTACAGGGGATTGGCTTTCCACCTCTGTAGCGAATACAATGTGCATATTCAATACAGAATAAACTGTGTAAAAGATGTCGTATTTGGAAACCTAAGTCTATCTCAATACCCTGTACTAGCATCTAGAAGATACTTTTCTGTGCCAATATGCCTTCATCCTGAGTCACAGAAACCACCTGCACACAGGGATTACCCAGGAACATAAATACTTGACCCCCTTGTTTAAGAAACTTGTATCTTCTCCTGAAATGATGGTTCTGATTTTATTGCTTGTTTCTGTGCAAATGTGGTTTTTTTCCTTTTCGTAAGGACTTTGAGTCCTTAGAAGAGACAAACTGTCCATCTCTATAGATTACACTGGTTGTGTTACACATGTAGCACATGTACATACTTGTCAGTTATAGCAGTGACTAACGTTTCAATAACAATGTAGGTTGAAAACAGTAAGGCAAAACAGCATGAGGTTTGTAAATATTCTGTAGCTTTTTAACTGTTACTTGTATCTCAAATTAGATGCATAAAGGGTTAAGAGTTAATATAATGAACTTTACTTGTGGCAAGTCCTGTTACTTAAATGATAGAAATGTTACAGTCTCGAATACATTATCTAGTTGAAATACCATCATTTTTTTTTTCCTGAACAAATATATTCCTGGCAATTTTTATTACAGTGGCTCTACTGATGTTGTTTAATTCTTTTGGTTTCATTTTCTTTTAGTAACGAAGCCTGGAGATATATGGGTGGCTTTGCAAAACCTGTCACCTTAGCAGAAGTCTTTACCAGGGGACTCAAGTGGGGATTTGCAGCTTTCGTCGTAGCTCTTGGCATTGAATATACCCTGTTTCCTCCAAAGAAGGGTGGAGGCCATCACTGAAGATCAAATATGACAACTTAATACTTACTGATTACTAAGCTGAAACATACGTAAGCCTGCTTCTCACTCTGTACTTAAAATATGCATATTAAAGACTATCACAGGCAAAAACATGTTTCTTTGATTTTATTACACTTTTGTGGAAGGATTAAAAAACATCACCAGAGTGATTTACCCGACTTCAATCTGAGGAAAAAAACCAAGACATACATATGCTCCTGAGTGTGCTGTACCATCCTTTGAAGAACAGGGAAATGTATCAGCCCACCTCTTTCAAGCTGTGCCAACATTCTGTTAAATGAAATTGAGAAAGTGTGTTGCTTTTAAGAGAAAAATCATACTTTATTGATTACAGGTTTAAAACCCATTATTTGCTAGTAAGTGGTAATGAATGACTTGTCATTTCTTGAAAGTATAATTTGTTACTGTTCATTCTTATGTCTCTAAATAAAAAGATTACCTTAAAGCTTCAAGAAGTATGCAAAACTGCCTCAAAGTATATGAGAGCACCAAAGCTTACACTTAATCCTATTGAAGAGTTAATTTGTCAGATACTATGCACCAAAATAATCTGCTGTGCAATATCCATAAATTTTACATTGCTGCCACATTTACGAAGCAAAGTAGAATGTTTCACTCAGCAATAACTGTATCTTATCCTAATATTACTTCCAATATGCTTGAGTGTAATGTGAAAAAGAGAGAAAGAAAATTTGGTTTTTTGTTTGTTCTGGTGTATCAAGTTCTAAATTTGTAGTAGTACAGATTTACTTATTTATTTTTATACGTAGTCTCTTTTAATAATTTGTTTTGGTTTGTTTTCCTTAAATTATCTAATAGCTTCTGGAGTGCTTTAAGAATGCCTGGAGTCAGAACTATAGTAGAGAAGGGCGTGTTGGCAGTAAATATTCTCTGCAGCACTAGGAATTAGAATTGGCTGAATATCGTATTGTAAATTTAGTTATGCCATTAGTCACGTAAGCTAAGGAAGGTATATCATCTCATTTCTCATTCCAAACAATAGGGTATCAGTGTCACTACACAGAAAAGCAAAATTAGACAAACAAGTGAGAAACTCAATGCCACTACACTACTACATACTGTACTTCTGTGGTGTAGAAACTGGAAAGTTCAAGTAATTATGGCACAAATTGTAGGTTTACAAAAAACTTGAAAGTCCTACCGAAACATGGCTAAGATACCTTTTTAAAAAAAAATATATATATTCACATACAACCTTTCTAAGTGAGATATCCAAGACCTTTATTTTTGGGGTTAATAACAGCTGTTATTGTGGGAGTATAGCTGTACTGTTCAGTGGAAGTTTGTCATCTCTGTATGACACTGCTCAAGGCACTGTTCATAGGGCAAATAGTTGTTTTACCAAACTTTTCTTGCATAATTCTTTCTCAAACATTGCTATCCAGTTGCATCATTCCCTGAAAAACCAATAAAAAGCCCTACCATTTAAGGTTTGTTGCACAAAATATTTCTGTGTTGGCCCTTTTGCAGTACCACCCAGAATACACATTTTCAAAGGCTGGTATTCACTGCTTGTTTTCTATCTGAGTCCAAAACTACACTTCTTAAGATAATTGTTTTCCTGAACAACTATCTAAAATTCAGTTAACTGAACTAGCATTACACGCAGTATTGGTGAATCCTGCACTTAAGATACACGTTTCTCACTTCAGCTGCTTTTTGTAATTTTACTTTGGTGCAGAGTACTTGTGCGCTGACTGGTTGCTCCCCACTCCCCATCCCACCTCAACTCTGTTGCAGCAGTTTCAGAAGCAGAAGTCTTAAAAAAAAAAAAAAAAAAAACTTTAAGCAGTAGTTGCTGTCCCATTTAGTTTCCTGTTGGGAAATTTTGTTTTCATGTTCTTCTGTATGTATACTTTTAATTGTTTGGGGTTTTTTTATTTGTTCTACATCAAATGTTTCAGAGTCTGAGGTAAAGTTTCTGCAAGTTCCTGTAGAATTAGTCTTTTTAAATGTTACAAGCCTGCCGCTTGACTGATACAGCAGACAGTTCTGTTAAAAATCAAGAGTTTTCTTTACACTAGTTGAAGAGATATTCATACATTATTTTATTTCAAGCACTAGCAGATGAACACAGATTTTAAAGTTACCGTAATCCTATTTTCAGCATGCATAACCTTGGTACGTTGCTTAATTTATTTAGACCAAGAGATGTAAAATACATAAATGTAGTTTTGCTGCTATATAAACTAACGCATTCCTCAACAATTTTTTAAAACAGGCAATTTTGTTTATCAAGACTTTATTGTATATTAAGAAAGACAATAAAAAAAAAATCTTATATGTGTTCTAATTTCAGCCACAGTTTCCAGAACACTTACATTCCAGCAAGTAGTCTCAATTTAATTTGATTTCCACAGATGCTTTACTTTAAAGATTTAAAAATTAAATTAATGCATACGTGCTGTCTGGTATAGGGAAGATTGTAAGAATCAGCCTTACCAACATTCTGTATAAGCAAACATATTGGCCACGTTCACCGTTAGACTAGACTAGGTAAAATTAGTGAGTTTATGAATTAAGGTGGTATCATTCAATGGTTTAATAGCCAGGTGACAGCCACTGCTCTAAACAACTGCCTTTATTTATGATTAACCCATTTTGCCAATATTGTGGAATATAAAAATGTCTCATCATTATGATACATACAATACATAAAGATTTTTATTTCACAGGTATTATAATACTAATCCTGCCTGGGTATGGAGTATTTCCTGTGTATTAAAATAATAGTACCAAATCTGTCTTCACTGTAACCATAGCAATGGTTGTCCTTACATTAAAACAGCCTTTCTACCAGCACAGATATTTTACAGTGCAAAGGACAGGGTCAAAAACAGCAGTGGCACCTGCAAGTGAGGAACATACATGATTGTAATACCATGGTCAGGAAACTCACTCTGTATCTTAAGTTCTGAAAAACAGAACTGACAATGCTCCATTTTCTGAAATGCAGATGGAACTACTACTCCATCAGTAGCTAAACAGCTATTTCTGCTCACCTGGAAAGATACTTGTGATTTATCCACTGTTTTTGCTAATGCTACCTACAATATTTACATCATTAGCATAATCTTCCAAATTTGTATGCTACAGAGAAGTTAAAGCAGTTAAACAATTCTAGTACAATAGTGACTACACTGTATAAATCAAATGTCTCTGAAATTCCTATTTCAGAGCATAACAATATAACCATTCCCATTATGTGAGGCAGTTGCAGTTTAAATAGCAGACTATAACTGTGTGTTTGTGTTGTTAACCTGCCTTGAAATCTCTCCTGAAAACCTTCCTACAAAAATTTTTTTATTGAGCTCTCAAATACAAGCTTCTATCCTGCAATTGTATCTTTGCCAGATCAGCATTTATCAGATAAGACTTTTTACATCAATGCAAGTGTATTTTCTACATGCAGCTAATTGAAGTTAGGAGCGTTTGTTTCAAGAGGTATTACAAGAAATGTACTCAGGACCCATGCTTGTCTTCCAATTAAGTTTACTGATTTCATCCTGGGTATCAAAACATTCAGGGATTCATCCAAACTGTTTTACATGTTTGTCAGGGAACTGATCTTACAGATGCTCTATATATTCTCTATCCCCAGTTGTACAACAAATAGAAATCTGAAAGTCAGATAATCCTTCTACCATTGTTCCAATGGAGAAGAAAAACCAGAAGAAAATAGTCTCTTCCCTTAATGCTTAGCCTTTTTTTTTTAATAATAGTAAAAGCAACACCAACACATAACAAGTGGAACTAGTGACACCATTTGTATATACAGATGGAATGCACTCACCCCGATCATACCAAGTCTGATTTTGAAATATATAGCACAAAAGACAAGCTTATATTATTTTAGGAGACATAAATTCTTAAAGATTTGTTTTAAATAACTAGGAGAATCTACAAAATTAAATATATCAAACCTGTTACAAAAGGATATCAAGATAAATACATCCAAGCCAGAGATTTACATCCAAAGCCCTCTAAATTAAAACACATAGGACCATCTCTTCTCAATCACACATAATCTTACTGCTATGCTCTATGTTCTACATTTATACTGATTTACAGTTCCAGTATAGATGAGAACCTATCAATGAAGATAATGTAGTAATTCAACTTAGAAACGAGGGGTGAAGAATGAAAAACACTTGCATACAACTTATAAATGCTGCCTATAAGAATGTGAAAACTGTTTAATAAGCACATAAAATTAGGCAAATTAAGGAAAAAGTGAAGTAAACAAAAGAGTATATTGGTCACTTAAGTAATAGCTGTGTGAAATTCATAAATCGTTCATTCAACCATTAAAAAAAAAAAAGAAGCAATTCTTCTTTCATAAGCCTGCAGCCATAGCATCTCCTTCAACCTCTTCTATTAGCCTGTACAAGTCTTCATATGTTTGTACAGAATAGATTCAAGGAGAAAATGTGCCCATTGATTCACAGCAGGTAGCTAGTTTCCTTCTGAATCATCACAGATCCAATGCTACCTCTTAGTAGCAGGAATACTGTGATACCCTTAAAAGGTTGGTATTAAAGTGAGAGCCTGATCATACAATTTTACTAAGAATCCAGGTATTTTTTTCAGAACACAGAGTAGTTGCTTGGTACCCGACCAAGTTCTAGTGTGGGTGATTAACTTCTGTTTTCCCTGCAGTTCCAAAGACAGTGTGATTGTCTGCAGAACAGCGTGCTATCCCAGAGTACTGTTTCCACTGCTGTACTTTTAGCAGCACAATAAATGACTGTTTTGTAAATGCTTTCAAATTAATTGAGCTGGGAGTTATATACGACATGTCTAATTTCACCACGTATGGAGGTGGCTTTTGTCTATTTCAGCAGATAAAATAGCCCAGAATTTTAGATTTTAGGCCTTTATGAGAGCAGCTCGGCTACAATACTAGTACTTCAAGGTAAGTGACTTTATGGAAATTGCTGGTTTATACAAACAGAATCACAACACCCTGGTTACAGGGACAAGGCATTTCTTAAAATTGACTGAATATTATGCAACAATGGGAAGCATACAACTTCCACACACCTGTACAATATTATCCTCACCATGAACAAACTCAGAGTGACAGAGGAAGACACGGACCGAGCAAGGGCACACTTCTACATTAACTCCCGCCAAAACACGTCAAAACTTACCCCAAGTCTGTAATTACTCACTGAAAAACGGTCTGTTACCACTGAATGGCTACTGGGACCAAGACAAAACTGTTTTGTCCGTCCTCACACCAGCAACAGCATAAAAAGCCTAGCCCCCTAAATACCCATACGCATCCTGAACCCGAGGCTATGGCAGCGCCAACCCCTCCTCCTCACAGCGCCGCCAGCACCCCGCCAAGCCGGAAGCCATTTTGTGCGCCGGTGGGCGCTTGCGACCAGACGTCCCTTCCGGCTCAACCCCGCCGCCATCTTGTGGTACATGAGGCCGCTTTTTCGG